GAAAAAAAAAAGTTCAAAATGTTCACAGTTTAAAAGTGTTTCAGGCTGGGCGTGGTGGGGTTCATGCCTGTAATCTCAGCACTCTGTGAGGCCCAGATGGGTGGATTGCCTGAGCTCAGGAGTTCGAGACCAGCCTAGGCAACATGGTGAAACCCCGTCTCTACTAAAAATACAATTGGCTGGGTGATCCACCTGCCTTGGCCTCCCAAAGTGCTGGGATTACAGGTGTGAGCCACCGCACCTGGCCTATATTTTTAACTTTTAACTCCAGTTTTCCATGACCTTTTTGAAGTGCCCAATTATTTGTATTGTGTACAATCATTACCACCATCCATCTCTAGAACTTTTTCACCTTCCCAAACTGAAACTCCACACTCATTAAACACTAAAGTCTATTCCCGCTAACCTCAGCCCCAGGCTCAAGCAATCCTCCCACCTCAGCACCCTGAGTACAGACACACATTATGCCTGGCTAATTTTGTATTTCATTTAGTTTTATTTTTGGGAAGGAGTCTCACTCTGTCATCCAGACTGGAGTGCAGTGGCACAATCTCTGCTCACTGCAACCTCCACCTCCTGGGTAGCTGAGATTACAGGTGTGCGCCACCATAGGCGGCTAATTTTTTGTATTTTTAGTAGAGACAGGATTTCATCATGTTGGTCAGGCTGATCTCCTGACCTTAAAGGATCCACCTGCTCACCTTGGCCTCCCAAAATGCTGAGATTATAGGTGTAAGCCACCACATACAGCCATAATTTAATGTAATCACCTATTGTCACCGAGACTAGAAATCATCACAGAATTCTGTATTCTGAATAACATACTGCCCATTGATCTCAAAATCAGCAAATGGATGATCTCAAATGTGCCTTTTCACTCTGGAAAGAGAAGGCCAAATGCCATTTTTACTCTGGCATATGTCTGTTTGTTGTTTTTACTGTGTGATGATACTGGGGCACATAGTGTAGCTAAAAGCAAAGCAATGAATTTTACAATGCTGTAAATGAGAGAAGGTCCAACTGCTACTGAAAAAGTTTTCAGGGTTCAAGTACATATCTGTATATTTTTTTGTTTTTATTTATTTATATATTTTTAAGACTAGTCAAATGCAGTAGTGAAAACGGGGAAAGAATAGAACAATGAGTTCAATCTGTAACTGACTGTGAACAATTAACTGAGATAACTCACTACCTTCAGACCAGCTGTATCTGTATATTTTAGTTAGATGGTAAAAGGACAGCGGATGGGAGGCAGGATCAGGTGGCTTAGGTAGCCTGTGTGTGATGATTAGTACTTTTTTGTGTAGGTGAAGACAACAATAGATCTCTTAAAACCGTTTAGAAAATTTTGGCAATCTCCAGGGAAACATTCAATTTTTGTGTAACTGAAAATATATGTAAAGCTGTAAGAAAACTATAATTCAAAACAATACTAACAATAACAGTTGGGCATTTATTTGTACTAGGCATTTGGCTAGGTGCTTTCTTTATATTTACTGATCCATTTAATTCTTAGACTAACCCTTTAAGATACATACTGTCATACTAATGAAAAAAGGAGGCAGAGGCTCAATAAAGGTCCAGGTTTGAGAAGAAAGTCATGTAAAATTTGCCCCTAATACTAGCTTTCATCACTACACTTATTAGTTAATTAAAATAGAAGTGAGTAGGAGAAACATGCTAGTACTCAGATCAGGTTTGAGCCTTCTGGATCAGATGCTATGAGAGGTTATGAAAGGTATCCAGAGGGCCCTTAGAATATGTGGAAATTTAATACCCCCAAATTTCAGAATATCATAAATAATTTTAATTTTAATTTTTTTTTTTTTTTTTAAAAGAGGTGGAGTCTCACTCTGTTGCCGAGGCTGGAGTCTCTGCTCACTGCAACCTCTGCCTCCTGGGCTCAAGTGATTCTCCTGTCTCAGCCTCCTGAGTAGCTGTGATTAAAAGTGCCCACCCCACAACTGGCTAATTTTTGTATTTTTAGTAGAGATGGGGTGTCACCCACCATGTTAGCCAGGCTGGTCTCAAACTCAGGACCTTAGATGATCCACCTACCTCAGCCTCCCAAAGTGCTGGGATTACAGGCATGAGCCACTGAGCCTGGCTGGACATTGCATTTTATAAAAATACTGAAGCAGGATAGTGGGGGCATCCTGAGCTGATCAAAGCTGGGACTCTTTCCTAGAAGGAACTCAAATGCCTACAGTCTAACTGAGGGGTAAATTAGTTAGCTATGTAAGGAAAAAGGAGAACGAGTTAAGTTCTAAGGCCAAGGTAAAAGGAGCCACCTTCTAGATTTCCAGCAGGAAAAGTCTGAAATCTCAGCCCAAGAATGATCAAAGATAAACAGCTAGCTGGTAAGCTGTTTCTCTGGGCAGGGTGGGGAAGATGTAAGTTGTTGACCAGTGTTAGAATTAATTATAACACGAAGAATTAAAGAGTGGACTTATTAGCGATTCACATTTTGTGACTGTTTTCTTCATTATGAGACCCTGTATCCAAAAGGTAGCCCTTATTTTATGTAAAATTCTGCAACCACTTGAAAGGCACTAAGTAAAAGATAATACCTGTCTTGTTAATAAAAATATCAAAATACCATATCCTAAATAAAAATTACACAAAGAAAAAAAGATCTTTCTTCAAATTCCTGCCTTAAAAGTGGAGGTTATGAGATAATAACAGATACTATTATAAACTTACCCAGAAAAAGCAAATGCAAGTTTCACTCTGAAATGCTTAGGTATTAGGGTGACTGGCACTAAGAATATACTAAGAATAAAACACAATGTCTAAATTCACACTTCAGGAAGAATGGCATACATTACCTTTGTAGGTCAATCTGTCTTTCTGCTGGTGCTGCCTTTTTGGCTACATCTTGCAGTTTGGGTGCTTTGGCATTACCTGCTTCCAAACCCCCAGGGCTCTCCTGACCCACTGCAGCTCTCTTCCTTCCCTTGTTAATAGGTTTATTTAAATCATCATTTTTGGTTGCATTGCCCTGAGATTCAGACTTGGGTCGACGTCCTCTCCTGGGTTTGGAAGGGGCAGGCGGTCCCGATTCATCTACTTTCTCATCTGTTGTTTGTTGGATATTTTCTGTACCAGCTGCTGTTACTGTTCTTTTCTTTCCTCGGTCACTGCTGATGTTGCCCTGGGTAGCCTGATCAGAATTAATTTCCTAAAAATGCACAAAACAATTCTATAAACACAAATTCCTTAAACATTAATGATCTCTATTGGAGAAGAGTGTTTTTAAAGTATTTTAAGGAAGTTTGGATTCGAGGACTTCTAGTTAACTGCTTACATCACATTAGGAAAGTAAGCTCCTTGAGGAGAATGACTGTGCATAGTATCTACCATGGAGTATAGCACATATAATATGCCCAATAAATGCTCATTAAAAAGCACAGGTTGGGCACAGTGGCTCAGGTCTGTTATCACAACACTTAGGAGGCATAAGTGGGAGGCCGGCTTGAGCCCAGGATTTCCACACCATCCCTGTCAACATAGTGAGACCCCATTTCTATAAAATAATTTTAAAAATTAGCCGAGCATGGTGGCTCATGCCTGTAGTCCCAGCTACTTGGGAGGCTGACGTGGGAGGATTGCTTAACCCTGGGAGGTTGAGGCTGCAAGGAACAGAGATGATGCCACTGCACTTCAGTGTGGGTGACAGAGGGAGATCTTATCTCAAAATAATAATTACAGACTGGGTGCAGTGGCTCACGCCTGTAATCCCAACACTTTGGGAGGCCAAGGAGGGGACGCGGGGATCACCTGAGGTCGGGAGTTCAAGACTAGCCTGACCAACATGGAGAAACCCCATCTCTACTAAAAATATAAAATTAGTTGGGCGTGGTGGCACATGCCTGTAATCCCAGCTGCTTTGGAGTCTGAGGCAGGAGAATCACTTGAACCTGGTAGGTGGAGGTTACAGTGAGCTGATATCACGTCATCGTACTCTAGCACAGGCCACAAGAGTGAAATTCCATTTCAAAAAAAAAAAAATTGCAATAATAAAAACATAAAGCATAAGTAGTACTTGTAAAATAAAGAAAATCTACTTGGTTTTGCTGTTATACTCCATCCAAATGAAAAGTTCGTTTTATTGATGGTATGCTCTAAAGAGTATTTTCAGAATTCTATGTTATTTATTTATTTATTTATTTATTTATTTTTGAGACAGAGTTTCGCTCTTATTACCCAGGCTGGAGTGCAATGGCGCGATCTTGGCTCACCGCAACCTCCGCCTCCCGGGTTCAGGCAGTTCTCCTGCCCCAGCCTCCTGAGTCGCTGGGATTACAGGCACGCGCCACCATGCCCAGCTAATTTTTTGTATTTTTAGTAGAGATGGGGTTTCACCATGTTGACCAGGATGGTCTCGATCTCTTGA